ATTCGCTATCGGTATCAGTATTGGCCGATAATAATTATAAGGTTCGCTATCGGTATCAGTATTGGCCAATAATAAGGTTTCAATATAGAAAATGCACTAAAATTCAGTATCTCTACCTGTTTTGAATGTTAAATTTGTAAAATATTCAATACTGCACTAAATTTTTACACTCTTAGAACTGACCTGGGAGCAGCAGTAACACTACAAAGTGGTAAAGATGCTTTTTGAATGGACAGATATCTACACTGCCCATCATGTGTTCAGGAACACCAAGCATTTCAGAAAGTTTTCAGTACAAATGACCATGTTTTCTTCCACGGTTTGAAAAAATGTAACAATAAAGACGGCATGATAGCACTTTCAGGTTTGTCGGTCAACATATCAATCACTGATTAATAACATTCATTCGTCTGTGAAAAGAATTAGCCACAATTTAAATCCCTAGTACTGAAGATATTCACAATTTGTCATGTAAAGTATCACAATAATGATAAATATCGCTTTATCATGCAGCCCAAGCACAGCTTTTGATGGTATTTTTAGACATGTGTCCATTCAGGGTCTAAACAACTCATACAAACTTTCATGTATCATGAAAATATCTTGACGTCTCAGTAATTTTGCCACATAGAAACAAAGGCCCAGTCCCATTTCACCCTTCGTCCCTACCACTTAGCCCTACCCCTCTGTTTTGCGTTCACGTCTAGGGGTAGGGTGTCCCGATTCTTGTTGAGATAGAGGGGTAGGGTGAAGTGTTGGGGCTACATGGCCCTCCAAACGGAGGTTTTTCAGAGACTCCAAACAGAGAGTTATGAGAAAAAAAGAAAAACCGGCAAGACGGCTGAACAAGAGACCAAAAAAACCCACAAATGTGAGAATTTTCTCTGTTATAAAATTACAATAACCATCTTATTATCTTAGTTTAATGCTGTTTCAGTGTATTTTGGTCATTTTCTTCATAACAAGCATAAAAAAATCACTAACAACATGCTAATGTCTCAGTAGCTATCTAGCTAACTTCCCATTCCACCTTAAATAGTCCAGCAGTTCTGACGCCTGAAGCGCCAGAATGTAACTGCTGCTCCATTTAAGGTGGAATGGGAAAATTCGAACAAGACGCTGGTGAATATCTGACTTCAGCTTCATATCACTGAAGAATTAGGGGTGGGTGATAATAAATAATTGCCCCCCTCTTTGAAGGCATATTATGCCCTGAATGTAACTAAAGCCCAGCAGTGAGGAGCTGAACTTTACCCTCCTCTGCTGTCACTGCAGACTGGCAGCGTCGCCTACAGAGCAGCGCTAGTAGCTGTTAATGAAGTGATGCTCTTTTTATTTGAGGGTCCCATTTCAGAGGGAAGATTTCAACCACTACCCTGTAACTCAGTTCAAAGGGGTTAGGGTGACACTCGAAAGCAAGGGGTAGAGGTGAAAAGAAGAAATGGGACTGGGCCAAAGTCTGCCTGCATTACGACCTGTATACAAACACACCGTGTCTGAAATCATTCCGACACTAGCAGGGATCCTTCTCTTATCTCCGTCTAAAGGATGTTTGATCTGCCTCTCCTTCTCTCTCTCACACGTCATGTTCAGTAACCACAGTGGCGTTTAGGCCCATTCAGACTGCAGCGGGTGTCGAAGGCACGGCCTCTTGCCGGGGTGGTGACGCACTTTTCAGAGCACCTGTGGTTCAGGTTACACAGGCCGCTCAGGGGCCTTTTCACAGCAACACGCCCGCTGAGTTTCTAGGCCTCTTTACAGCTGACCATGAAGCTGCATGACTACAAGAAGCAGAGAACCCGACATGAGGTCACACAGAGAGTCACCGCCGGGATACATTATTCAACAGGCTTAGCTGAGACTGTTGCTTCACACTGAGACTCTGTTACATGGTTCTCTCTCACCTACTCCCCCTGCCCTCTCTCTACTACTCTTCCTCCTCCTCCTCCTTTTCCCTCTCTCTCTCTCTCTCTCTGTCCACTCTTCCCTCTTCTCTCTCTCTATTACTGCACCTTCTCCTCCCTCTTCTTCTCCCCACCTCTCTCACTTTCTGTTCTAATCCTCCTCCCTCTCTCTCTCTCTCTCTCTCTCTTCTACTCCTCCTCCCTCCTCCCTCTCTCTCTCTTACTCCTCCTCCCTCTTCTATCTCTCTACTACTACGCCTTCTCCTCCCTCCCTCTCTGTCTCTCCTCCTCTCTCTTCTACTCCTCTTCCTTCTCTTTCTCTCTTCCTCCCCACCTCTGTCTCCCTTCTACTCCTCCCCCCTACCTCTCTCTCTTCTACTCCTCCTCCCTCTTCTATCTCTCTACTACTACTCCTTCTCTTCCCTCCCTCTCTCCCTCTCTGTCTCTCCTCCTCTCTCTTCTACTCCTCTTCCTTCTCTTTCTCTCTTCCTCCCCACCTCTCTCTCCCTTCTACTCCTCCTCCCTCCCTCTCTCTGCCTCTCCTCCTCTCTCTCTCTCTCTCTCTCTCCTACTCCTCTTCCCTCTCTTTCTCTCTTCCTCCCCACCTCTCTCTCTCTTCTACTCCTCCCTCTCTCCTGCTCTTCCTCCCTCCTCCCTATCTTGCTCCTACTCCTCCTCTCTTTTTATCTCTCTGTCCACTCCTCCCTCTTCTATCTCTCTACTACTACTCCTTCTCCTCTCTCCCTCTCTCTGTCTCTCCTCCTCTCTCTTCTACTCCTCTTCCCTCTCTTTCTCTCTTCCTCCCCACCTCTCTCTTCTACTCCTCTTCCCTCTCTCCTGCTCTTCCTCCCTCCTCCCTCCTCTCTGTCTCTCTCTCTACTACTCCTTCTTCTCCCTCTTTCTTCCTCCCCACCTCTCTCAATCTCTCTTCTACTCATTCTCCCTTTCAACTCTTCCTTGCTCACTCTCTTCTACTCCTCTTCCCTCTCTTTCTCTCTTCCTCCCCACCTCTCTCTCTCTCTTACTCCTCCTCCCTCTTCTATCTCTCTACTACTACTCCTCCTTCTCCTCCCTCCCTCTCTCTGTCTCTCCTCCTCTCTCTCTTCTACTCCTCTTCCTTCTCTTTCTCTCTTCCTCCCCACTTCTCTCTCTCTTCTACTCCTCCTCCCTCCCTCTCTCTGCCTCTCCTCCTCTCTCTCTCTCTCTCCTACTCCTCTTCCCTCTCTTTCTCTCTTCCTCCCCACCTCTCTCTCTCTTCTACTCCTCCCTCTCTCCTGCTCTTCCTCCCTCCTCCCTATCTTGCTCCTACTCCTCCTCTCTTTTTATCTCTCTGTCCACTCCTCCCTCTTCTATCTCTCTACTACTACTCCTTCTCCTCTCTCCCTCTCTCTGTCTCTCCTCCTCTCTCTCTTCTACTCCTCTTCCCTCTATTTCTCTCTTCCTCCCCACCTCTCTCTTCTACTCCTCTTCCCTCTCTCCTGCTCTTCCTCCCTCCTCCCTCCTCTCTGTCTCTCTCTCTACTACTCCTTCTTCTCCCTCTTTCTTCCTCCCCACTTCTCTCAATCTCTCTTCTACTCATTCTCCCTTTCAACTCTTCCTCGCTCTCACTCTCTTCTACTCCTCTTCCCTCTCTTTCTCTCTTCCTCCCCACCTCTCTCTCTCTCTTACTCCTCCTCCCTCTTCTATCTCTCTACTACTACTCCTCCTTCTCCTCCCTCCCTCTCTCTGTCTCTCCTCCTCTCTCTCTTCTACTCCTCTTCCTTCTCTTTCTCTCCTCCTCCCCACTTCTCTCTCCCTTCTACTCCTCCTCCCTCCCTCTCTCTGCCTCTCCTCCTCTCTCTCTCTCCTACTCCTCTTCCCTCTCTTTCTCTCTTCCTCCCCACCTCTCTCTCTCTTCTACTCCTCCCTCTCTCCTGCTCTTCCTCCCTCCTCCCTATCTTGCTCCTACTCCTCCTCTCTTTTTATCTCTCTGTCCACTCCTCCCTCTTCTATCTCTCTACTACTACTCCTTCTCCTCTCTCCCTCTCTCTGTCTCTCCTCCTCTCTCTCTTCTACTCCTCTTCCCTCTCTTTCTCTCTTCCTCCCCACCTCTCTCTTCTACTCCTCTTCCCTCTCTCCTGCTCTTCCTCCCTCCTCCCTCCTCTCTGTCTCTCTCTCTACTACTCCTTCTTCTCCCTCTTTCTTCCTCCCCACCTCTCTCAATCTCTCTTCTACTCATTCTCCCTTTCAACTCTTCCTCGCTCTCACGCTCTTCTACTCCTCTTCCCTCTTTCTCTCTTCCTCCCCACCTCTCTCTCTCTTCTACTCCTCCTCCTTCTCTCCTGCTCTTCCTCCCTCCTCTCTGTCTCTCTCTCTACTACTCATTCTCCTCCCTCTCTCTCTTCTACTCCTCTTCCCTCTCTTTCTCTTTTCCTCCCCACCTCTCTCTTCTACTCATTCTCCCTTTCATATTTTTCCTCGCTCTCTCTCTCTGCTCCTTGCACTCTCCCCTACACCTCTTCCCTCTTTCTCTCTTCCTCCCCACCTCTCCCTTTCTTCCTCCCCACCTCTCTCACTCTCTCTTCTACTCATTCTCCCTTTCATACTCTTCCTCTCTCACTCTCTCCGTGCCCTCCTCTCTTGCTTTCGCTTTCTCTCTCTCTCTCTCTCTCTTTCTCCGTGCCCTCCTCTCTCGCTCTCTCTCTCTCTCTCTTTCTCTCTCTCTGTATCTCTCTCTCTCTCTGGTTAAGAAAAATGCGGAAACTCTCTCTCTGCCTTGCGTCCACCACGTTACGACACAGTGACTAAAGGCCTTTTATACACATCCAACTCCAGACTTTCACATAAAAAGTACCAACAACCCCGTCGGGGTCTTCGACACATGGACTCCCCGGACTAAATGATGATGCAACGCTCCTTCCTATCTTCTCAGACACGTGTAGACGGGCACTGGGGGAGGTTAGCTAACAGGTGATGAGCGCATCCGAACTCCGCGACTGAGCTATGAAGTCTGTGGTCCGGTTTGGACCCACGTAACCACACTGAGACGTTAGAGGGGAAGCCGGCCGAGGTGTAGTCACCTTAGCCGGCTCCTCCAGCTGAAGTTCGGTTACTTACATTTTGCACCTGGTCGTGCTGAAGCTCGGTAACGTAATACGCCAGAAGATGCGAGGCTATCATTGCCGATGTCTTCCCCGGTCGTGTCGTTAACTTCTTCTTGTCTTTAAAGTCGGCCGGCTCGTCTTTCTTTCTCTTCAAGTTTCACTCCACTCTTTCCGCCCGGACGCCTTCAAACTCTTTTCCTCCAGCCACTACGAGTGACGTCGGCCACTACTTACCGCCCACTCGCACGTCACCCCATGGGCCGCCTCATCATCGCTGTTCTCGCCTCCTATTGGTCCGCGCAAAAGGTGTGTGCGCATCCTACTGCGCATGCGCGTATCACTACTGTACCGTAGTATCTTGTGTTTCTAATGTTAAATCATCCCAAATTCAGGTCTGTTGTGCAGTTTGTTGTATTGTCCAGCTTCATATCACTACTTACCCTCTGATTAGGTGATCTAGACCATCAAAGTGTCCTAATTATTCTTTCAATGCTGGTAACATTTCCAGATAAGGAGATTCAGGCCATCAAAATATCCTATACATTTCAGTGCTGGTAGATTTTTTTTTTGATGGGGTGATTTAGGCTTTCAAAATATCTTACACACTTAAAAATTATGGTTCTTTAAGGGTTCTTTAGTAGAGAAGATGGATCTAGGTAGAACCATGAACACCCAAAAACCCTTCCCATGAGCAAGGGGTCTTTGCATCGTGAAAGGGTTCTTCAGATTAAAGGAGAATGTGCTGTAGATGATTCTATACAGCAGCAAAAGGGTTCTTTTGTTGTAACAAGCCTGGCATTGTAACTATAGATGAACCCTTTTTAGTGCTATATAGAACCCTATAGAAGTTGCAATTTACGCTGCAGCACTGTGTTGCTGTCCCGCACTGACCATCCTAAACGTTTATCTGTATTTCACAAAAATTACACATTAGACAGATCAATGATCACAGAAATATGCATTTTATTTCATGGTCAGGTGGGCAGGGGGATCTATGTAAACAGAAAAGGAGGTAAGAAAGTGGAAAAATCACCCCCAAACTAGGCGTTTGCTGGTATTTGTGGACGTAGTTGAAGCTTCTCGCACTCAAACTGGATGATATCATGCTTGTGCTGTACAAATGTGGCACAAATATGGAGAACTTTAACGTGTTACAGCTTTACTCAGTCAAAACAAAGTTACAGAAACACAACATGTTCAACACTTTGACTGCAGTCAGTTCTGGTTTTATAGCACAAGAAAACCTGGAAAGGGAGCGTCTTGCTCCACAATCAGGTTAAGAAGTCTTGCATCAATTTGCAGTCAATTAATTTTACAGAATGTATGATTTATATATGGAATCAGTTTTGCCTTTGTATTTTCTAAAATGTGATATTGTAAATAAACATGATATCATGAAATGAAACCAATTATATCTTAATGATTCCACTTCATTTTATTAAACCATGATACAAGAGAAATCACAGTAAATACATTGATTAAACACAGGTTGATGATTTTGGGGGCATGATCAGCATTAAATGACCTTTTTACTGAAATTAAGTTACCGTAAACAACAATATATGGCAAAAACTGGTGTCATTGTTTCCAAATGCTGAAGAGAAAAATAAAAACAAAGAACATAAAGAGCTGTCAGTAACAGTATTTCTATAAGTCTCGCTCATTCACACTCTCAGACCATCACTATGAACAGCTGATGTCAGTGTTAGTCTAAGCCCTTTTCTTAGTAAACCCAAAGTTAGTTTATCCAGCTAACAAGCAAGCTCTGACCATGATTTGTGTATATTGTATTGTATATTCACTCTGTATAATATATATTCTTAATAAGACCTAATGATTATGTTTGTGAGCTTTTAGCCAAAGTCCTGTCACAGCTTCAGTGGTTGCCGACTGGCATTACTTTGCAGAGCGAGTAAAACCAGAAACCCAACAATAACAAAAAAGGAACCGTCAATGTCAATGACAAATCATGTGATGATGTAACTCTGTTCATCTCCGGTAAGACAGCTAAAAATATTGCCTAGTTCTCACTAACAATAACAACAGAGAAAGCATGTAACGCTGACTAATGTTAGGTAGTCAGCGAAACCACAGTGTTTCATATTTATGATGAAATTCTAAGGAAATTATATTTCTGGGGCAACAGGCCAAAGGGCATCTTTTGCCCAGTGTCTTGATGTGTTGGAATGCATGTGCTGTACAAATATGGCACAAATATGGAGGTATTTAACGTGTTACAGCTGTACTCAACATTTTCAGTTCATTTGTTTCCAATATAGCGGTCATCATCATCATCATCATCATGAAGTCGGGTGCATAAACTTAAATAAGCCCATAAATGTTCGATGACCCACATTGAAATACAGCCCCATTTCCAAAAAAGTTGGGATGCTGCGCAAAATGTATTTAAATGATGTTCAAATCATTGAAACCTTATATTTCATTAAAAATAGTACAAAGACAACAAATCAAATATTATATATTTTTCAAAAAACAATAAAATTTCTCAGTTTCAACATTTGATAAGCTGTCTTTGAAGCGTTTTCAATTAAATATAGAGATTAAATGATTTGCACATGGTTGCATTTTGTTTTCATTTACATGGGCTTGTAAATTAAAGTTACACAAAGTGTCTGAAATGTCGAGGAACACTTTGAAGTGTTTTGCTAGTTTCTTTGTGTTTCATGTAAAGTTTGATTGTTGCTATGGAGACGGTTAGCCTGTGCTAATATTGCAGTCAAGCTATGCTAACAATATTAAACCAGAGAAACACTTCATTTGCTCAATATTTCCCTTTCCAATATTCAAACACACAGTTAGTAATACAGGTTCTGTGCAGGTATATTTTTTCGTTCATCAAGGTACAAATAATCTAAATGTTCCCTCAAAGGTGCAACAGTGGTTTTAAGGTCTGATTGTGAACCTTAAATAAGTTTTTCCAGGTGAAAAGTTCGTATTTGTACTTTTTTCATAACCGAATGTTTTAAAACAGAACAGTAGAATAAAAGCCTGGAGACGAGACGGGGTGTGTGGAGTCAGTACAGCTTAGAACATATCATTTCAGTGGATTATGGTTCAGTTATGTTCCCTGACTAAAGGTACTGAGATGGACCCTTGAGGGTCCCACCCCGGAGACAGTTTAGTACCTTTTTTTCTGCGAGTGTAAACTGCATGTGCCCCCAAAATGAAATTACCATTATCAGCAATTTGAATAAGTACCTGTAAGAGTGTAAAATAAATTAAAGTCACACAGCAAATGCATTTAGCAATGATTACTATGACACAATGGGTGTTGTGTTCTCTGTCATTGTATGACAGATGTCAAATCAGGTCAAAGTTTATTTATATAGCACTTTTTTTACAACAGGCGTTGTCATAAAGCAGCTTCACAGAAAAATCCGGGTCCAAGCCTCTATGAACGTCGCCAATGGAGACAGTGGCAACGAAAACTCCCTCAGAGCAAGAGGAAGAAACCTTGAGAGGAACCAAGACTCAAAATCAGAATCAGAATCAGAATCAAGCTTTATTGGCCAGGTTTGCTGACACATTCAAGGAATTTGGTTTTGGTTACAGGAGCTCACAGTGCACAGTATCAGACATTTACATGTAGGGAATAAAATAAAATAAAATGAAATAAAATGAAATAAAATTAAATTAAATACAAAAAAACAAAATAAAGATAAAATACAGCATGCATTCCTACCATCACTCACACACACACACACACACACACAAACACAGTCATACCTGTAACCCTTACATTGTGCAAAGTATGTGTCTTATATTAAAGTGCTGAGTGTAGCAGCAGTTAAAGGGTGTACAGTGCCAGAGTAAGGGATCAGTGAGGTGACAGTCAGATAAGTGGGGTAATCAGGCAGGAAGTAAGATGCTAAACACTGGTTTACCGGTAGTTTCAGAGGGTGGAGTTGAGTTTGGTGATATATACCAGTATATTTAGAAGCTGTAATACTTTAATGTGTAATATTTTCACTGGTCAAGAGAGTGACGGCTTGTGGGAAGAAGCCTTTCTGTAGCCTGCATGTCCTGATCCTCATTTGGCTGACGCTCCGGCCTGAGGGAAGGAGCTGGAACAGGTGGTGTCCGGGGTGTGACGAGTCAGTGGAGATCTGCTCTGCATGCTTCCTGGCTCTCGAAGCATGCAGTTCCAGCAGTGTGGGCAGCTTAACCCCAATTGTCCCCTCTGCAGACCTGATGATGTGCTGCAGTCTGTGGAGGTCATGCTCGGTGGCTGAGCTGCCCCACACTGTGATAGACGTGGTGATGACAGAGGAAAGGGGAGCCCATCCTCCTCTGTTCCACACTGGATAGCAAACAATAACACAAGAGCAACAGAGAATAGACGTGACAGACAATCTACATGTGACTCAGTGAAGCACATCTTAATTAGGGATGATGACACACTTCAAACAAAAGGAGAAGATACATGGATAGTTTTGAAGTGAAGAATGCTGGAAGTACAGTTCGCTGTTGATGCTAATCTAACAAAAGTAGACATTTGTGGTGTTCTTTGCTTGCATATCATCACTTTAGTGGTGTTTTAAATAAGGTGGTATCAGCAGTAAACGAGTAGCCTACGCTTTTATTCGTAAAGCCGTATATCACTGCTGTCGGAACAAAACCTCGTATCTCCACAATGGTAACTTTACAGGAGAAGGAAAAAACCTAATTTACTTTCAATGTAAGTCAATGGAACCAGAGTTTTTTCCAAGTAATTCGGGGCCGTTTCTTTTGGTCCATTCATTATGAAATTTACACACAAAATAAAGAGCAACAGGCATTTTCAAAATATGCCAAAAACTGAAAAAGGACAAAAATGGAGATACAAGGTTTTCTTCCGACAGCAGAGATATGTAGAGTGAATGTGGGGAAATAAAAACAATAAGGACAATGTTCATGTACTGACTGTAAAGCTAAACCATATCTGTATACAAGTTTATCACGTACAGGATGATGATTTATGAACCTCCACTTGTTCAGAGGGAAATTAACCGGGACAGCAGTCAGTTCTGGTTTTATAGCACAAAAAAAAGAAAATCTGTAAAAGGAGCGTCTTGCTCCACAATCAGGGCAAGAAGCCTTTATACATGGGGTAAGAAGTCTTGCATCAATTTGCAATCAATTACAGAAAGTATAATTTATATATCAAATCAATTATTGCCTTTGTATTTTAAAAAATAAATCAAATAAAGTAAATATATATGA